CACCAGCACGAAAAGCGTGGATGTGTCGAGACAGGCATCCACCGCCAACCACGGGGTTGGTAACACTACTGTTGGTGCGGGTGTTAAGCAGGCCCGCACCGGCGACCGGAAAGTCGCTTCAGCTACTGCAATGGCTGCGTTGGAGAAGCAACTGAATCGGATCCGTGATGCCACCGCAGAACTGAGGAGCCTCATGGCTGCTCAAGAAAGTGGATTGGCGAAAGTGATTGAGCGCGCCGCTCAACTGGAGGTTGTGTCCGTAAAGACACACAGTCCACCAGTGAGCAATGCTATCAAGGAGATGGTAGAGGCGGTGAACGCCGTACAAAAGGGTCGGAAGGGCTTGTACAAGGCGTTCAAGAACGTAATTGTTCAAGTCCGACCAGGAAATTCCAGCCCCTCGACTATAAAGCCGGTCGACAAGGCTAACGTGGGCTGCCAGACTGACCCTCCTACCCCACCGACGAGACCACACGTCTCCGTAAGAAAAGCGGATGCGTCGACGAACACCCCTCAAGGTTCAATGGGTACTGCCGAGCCAGGCAGGGGGCCCAGCGAACAGATGCCTTCTGTGGCTACCAAGCGGAAGAAAAAGAGGAAGAAGAAGGGTCAGCACCTGCAGCAGCAACAGCATCAGCAACAGCAGCAGCAGCAGCAGCAGCAGCAGCCATAGCAGCGGTGGCAGCAGCAGCAGCAGCAGACGCAGCAGAAGAGTTCATCATGGAGCGAGGTGGTCAGGAGAAAGAAGAGGGTGCCCCTTGCAACCTGCACTTCTGCTCCACAGAAGCGGAGCAAGGTGGACGAGAAAATCACCTTGTTGCGTCGAAGGGCTCCAAAGACCTCGGCGGTAACGATAGACCGCCCAGCCGATGGTGGGTCTCTTGCGGCCATTATGAAGAGGGTGTCCGGGGCAATTAACCTCGGGGCCCTCGGAATTAGGGTCGTAACCACGAGGCGCACCAAGGCAGGAGGAATCCTCCTCGAGGTGGAGGGGGAGGAAAAGGCCAAGATCCTGGAACGTAAGATCAAGGATGTTGTGGGAACCGACGCCAGGACACGCAGGCCCGAACGRAAGACACCCGTTCTCCTCCTAGACGTCCCGGAGTGGGCGGAAACGGAGGACGTGGTGAGTGGGCTCGGCCAGGTAGGTGTCGTCTCYGCTGGCGACGTCTCTATCAGGAGGAATGGCGGCAGTCGCGGTGACCGCGTGGCAAGAATCGACCTCTCTCTCTGCGACGCCATCGCTTTGGCTGAGGCCAAGGCGGTGTTGATAGGCTGGACCCGGTGCAGAGTGAGGCTTCTAGAGAAGAGGCAGCCAACCTGCTTCCGGTGGCAGCAGAAGGGTCACCTCGCCGCGGAATGCCACAACGAGGCCAAGCTCAGGGCCTGCTTCAATTGCGGGGCCACGGACCACCTCGCTAGGAACTGCAGCAGCGGTCCATCTGCGAGGAAGGAAGGAGCGGCGAAGAAGAAGAAGATGGAGGTGCCCAGGGARCAGCCCAGAACGGAGGAGCCACCGCGGGCGGTGGGCTGGCCCGCCTCTCCGGTGGCGTCGGGGTCCGGTCCTTCGCCGTGATGGAGTTAAGGTTTGTGCAAACTAACCTAAACCATTGTCGGGCAGCCCAGGACCTTCTGGGGGAGTTCGTAAGAACGGAGGACATCGCGGTGGCGCTGGTCAGTGAGCCGCAAGGTGGTGGACGAGCTGGCTGGCACTACGACACTACGGGTCGTGCTGCCGTGAGTGTCTTCCGCCCGGGACTCACGCTCAGAGATGTCGAATCGGGTGACGGGTTCGTAGCAGCTACCGTAGGAGGCGCGGTCCGAGTCTTCAGCTGTTACGCTTCCCCCGCCCTGTCCGTCGCTGAATTCCAGGAATTTCTGGGYCGTCTCGAGTCCTCCGTTAGGCGGCATCGCGGCGCGGGAGTCGACCTCATCGTTGGGGGAGACTTCAACGCCCGATCAGCGTCCTGGGGGGACCGCCTGATGGAGGCGCGCGGTGATGACCTGTCAGCGCTCGCCGATTCTCTGGGACTGATCGTCCTGAACGAGGGGCGGGAACCGACGTTCTTCGGGAGGGGGTTGGGGTCGTGCGTCGACGTGACCTTCGCCACCGAATCGGCTGCGAGGAAGATTCGGGGGTGGACCGTGCGTACGGACGTTGAGAACATGAGTGACCACCATCACTTGTGTTTCTCGTATCGCACCGGACGCACGCTCCCGGGCGTCCCAGGTGATCCCACAGCGGCGGTGGCTGGTGGTCGGCGGCATCCGGGTTGGTGAACATCCCGAATGGACGCTGATCTCCTGGCTGCGGACGTTCTCACCGCGGAATGGACGGGGGCGACTCTGCCCACGGTGGCTTCCAGCCGCTTCTACGAACGCCGAGGCCGAAGCCGAGAGGCTCGTTGGCAGCGTGGTGGCGGCCTGTGACACGGCTCTTCCCCGAAGGAATCCTCATCCTGGAGGAAGACAACCAGTTTACTGGTGGAATGGCAGTGTCGCCGCGGCGCAAGCTGAATGTGTCCGACGGAAGCGGCTGTGGATCAGGCAGCGGAAACGCGGTGTCGACGGAGACGGGTCCTTGGCTGACGTTGAGCGAGCCTACCGTGAGGCTCGAAGAGAGCTGAAGCACCGGGTTCGCGACGCGAAGACGAAGTGCTGGGCAGAGCTGGTCAAGACCATCGAC